CAGCGAGTCCGACGCCCCAGCACCGCCAACGCTGCAGGAAGAAGAGCCCACCACCTCCACGAACACCCGCGAGATGCGAGGCACCGGCGGGCCCTGCTGCGTCCCCAGGGTCTCGGAGGTCTGGGAGAAGAATCGAGCCTCGTTCGCCTAGTCTTCGATCGTACGCACGCAAGGTCCGATTGTTTCCAGGGGGTAGTAGTGGCGCGCGTTGCCGATGGGCAGATTTTGGGTTGGGTGTCTCGGTGGTGCGTATGATTTTGTTGCACCAGTCGAGAATGTCTGTCCAATAGGGCACACAAAAGGCGGAGGCGTAGCATTCTCCCTCCGACGAGGGTCGGTTTCCGAACCTCGATACAGCCTTGGCAAGCAACCAAAAGGCGAGTCGCCAACCCTTCGCCAACACGAACTTTGGAAAGAGCTCTTAGCGCGACAATTCTCGTGCAACCCTATTTCGGCCAGCACGCCGCTCGCTGGTGCGAAGATATATACCTCGGAGAATGCGGGATAGGCACGTTCTACAATACACACGCCGCACGATGCCCTCATCACGTATGGAATGTCTCCTTTTTTGGGACCATGCTCCATCGCAGGGAGGGAGGCGTGGGAGTCACCTCTTTCAGAGGGTTGCCTCGGATTCTGGTCGCGGTTAGGGTGGCGTCGATCAGAAACTTCCACCCGAACCCGTCGCCGTAGCCGTTCTCCTGCACGTCTACCTGTGGGGAGGGAGGCATCAAAGCGGCCGGACGGGCGAGGTGGTTTTCAATGGAACTTTGGCGCGGTCTCCATAAACAGGGCAGGAACGGAGAGCGGAGAACTCGCCAGCCTGGAATGCCTGTCTTTTTTACGATGTGCACGCTTCCTTGCCGAAGGTTTTCTGCTTGCTGCGCTTGCGCGACGGGTGAGGGGGTGGCGGCCATCCCCCCCCCACACACTATTTGTCGTGTTCGCTCCGGTACTCCCATGCCCTGCAGAACATCCTCCTTTATTCGAGCGAAGCGAGATTTCTAATCTTGCCTGAGAGGGCTCAGCGCAATATAGGGGCCGATGCAGGAAAAAAAGTGCGTGCGTGTGTTGTGTTCGCTTAAACTAGGTTTTAGAGTACAGGACTTGATTTGTGACTACAGGGCGCACTTTTTTTTTTTACACAGCAGAGCAGCAAACAGCAACAGCAGACAACACGCGCTCAGCGAGCAGACTGAACACACACGCACAGCAGACAACACGCGCTCAGCGGGCACAGCGACACACCAACAGCGCAGAGCGGACACAGCCACAGCGGCCTGCATGGCATGGCAATTGCATGATGAGTAGACGTCCGTTGGGGCCGATTGACCCGAACTCCCTCCGTGAGGCAGAGACGCACACAGACTCGCGGCGCAGACAAAGCCACGGG